CACGCCTCTGGCTCTTCCTCTGCAGGAAGAAGGAAACACAACACAGGTGGGCTTATCGTGGAACAAATATGGCTGTGACATCCTCAGACCAGGTGTTCATCCCCATTCCTTTCTCCTTTCCCTGCCATGTGCTAGTCGCACAAGACTCATGCTTGATGAGGAAAGCAGCGAAGCCCCAGGTACCAAAATGGCTGCAGTGACGAGATGGGAGCTCCCCGCAGTCTTATGATCCTGGTGATGCTGCAAACAGGAGGATCACCTGCATCCTAATAATGTCCTCTACTTCTCCTAACACAGCTCTGTCCCAATAGATGAAGCCGACGGATACCATCTCAGACCATCAGACTGTGTCACTCCAGGGTGGGCAACCTTGCCAGGTCCAGGGGGAGGTCAATTTCAGCCCCCTGGATACCACTATGTGCTGAGCAAATGCACGCACGCACGCACGCACGCAATGGATACCACTATGTGCCGAGCAAATGCGTGCACACACACACGTGCATGTACAAATCCTAGTGTCACCAAGATTTGGCAGCATGGGCAGCGGCCAGACGTAGCAGGGGGAAGGGAAAAAAAGGTAGCCCTGATTTCTCTGCATCACTCTTCCGTCTTAAAACAAGGTGCACAGGATAGATGCATCTTGTTTTAGGGACGAACTGGATGTCCTGGAACCAAGCAAGAGGCCTCTGTTACCTTAAAAGATTAGCCAATGCTATTCAGCATCCGCTTCTGGAAGCTGGAGGCACACACTTCTCGAAAGTGTTCCAGGAGTTCCAGCCTCTCCTAAACCAAGGCATATACCTGTCACACACCTTGTTTTAGCCCTGAAACACAGCCTTTCTGGATGCCTTGCAGCCAGACGTTGGTAGGGTACCACTTACGTAAGACAGTGCAGCCCACCTTGGATTTTGCTCCGTTTTGCCTTAATCAGCAGTTGGCAAATGTGGAAGATCCCAGGGGAGTTTTGACCTCCTCCGGATCTCACTGTCCTCCTAATCTTCCCTCCCAGTGCACTGGTAGGAAAAACGACAGACAAACAGGGAAAGCACTCTTGTGTTACAGCCAGCGACCACAAAAGCTAGCTGGATAGCTCAGTGGTTAGGTATCTGGCTGTTTAGCCAGATCCCACCTCCACCCCGGGAGATCCCATCTCCCGCCTCCTGGGAGAACAGACAACCTGGGTGGCCTTGGGCAAGCTGCTCGGTGCTCCCAGGGCACCACCCCCCCCCGAAAAAGGGAAAGGTGAAACCACTTTTGAGCAATCTCTAGCTAGAAAACCCTGGAAAGAGTCAGCATCAGAATTGACTCGACAGCGCAAACGCAGAAACCCCACAAAAAGATTAATGTAGAGGAGACCTGCGCACCTTCGAGGGAGGAAGGATCTGGAAACCCATTTTGTGCCCTGTGATCTACACCGTTAAGGGGAGGGGGGGAAAGCCTACAAAGAATGAAATAAATTGGTTCCAAACCAATTCTAATTCCAAATCCCCAAATGGTATTTCGGGATGAGAACCTTGTGACCTATTTAAAAGGTGACTCATCATTTCTCCTGAAAATCCCATCAAAAAAAAATAACAAAAAAAAAAAACGGGAGCCCGAGACATGGAGGAGATGATGGAAATGACAGGGCACAACTAGACCAACAGATCTTGGGCCACCGTTTGCTTGCACTCCCTTTTAAGGGGGAAGGCTCCTGCTTCCCAAGAAAAGCTACACTTCCTGGAGGATGCTGTGGCGGTTGGGAAATTGAACAACCATGAAAAAAAATAAGTGTTTAAAAGCAGGTCTCTTTCCCGGGGAGATGCTAAGGGTGGAACTTGCCACCCTCTGCTCTGCCACCAGAGGAGCAGGTAGAGCGGCAATTTCTCGTAAAATACTTCTGGGTCAAAAATTCAATGAGCGACACCAAACTGTCCGCATTTGGGGGTGGGCAAAGCACAAACATGGACCCTATGTGACCCCTCTAGTCCAGTTTATTTTTTGGGGGGGCAAGCAGGGTGCTAAACTTCCTCCGGAATCCAAGGCTTCTTTCTGCCCTGGAGAAAGAGGTGTTGCAGCTAAACTGTTTCTCTGAAAGTAAGATCTAACCTGAAAATAAGCCCTAGGATGATTTTTCCCCCCAGGATGCTCATCATAGAAGCCCTACTAACAAAAAATAAGCCCCCCCCCATTAAGTGAAACCCTGCCTTCCACTCTTGTGCAGCAACCCGAAGATGAGTGTCGACGCTTGTACATGAATAAAAATAAAACATCCCCTGAAAATAAGGCCTAATACTTTCTCTTTTTTGGAGGAAAAATTAATATAGGACCCTGTTTGATTTTCGGGAAAACATGGTACTCCTCGACCCATGGTTGCCAGCCTTAGGTGTTCTTGGACTGGACTACAACTCCCAGAAGCCTTCATCACCTGCTGCGTGGACCAGGGATTCTGGGAGTCACAGTCGAAGAACACCTGGGTGCCCCAAGGTTGGCATCCACCGAGAGACGGCCGTTCCATTTTAGAAATGGACCACAGCCCCTCTGCCTGTTGAAACACCAACATGTTCATTTTTCAGAATTAGAAGAAGATTCCCAATCTCTTCCACACGAAGAGGGGGGCACCGAATCCGCCTGTGCGGACCAGGGATTCTGGGAGTCGCAGTCGAAGAACACCTGGGTGCCCCAAGGTTGGCATCCACCGAGAGACGGCCGTTCCATTTTAGAAATGGACCACAGCCCCTCTGCCTGTTGAAACACCAACATGTTCATTTTTCAGAATTAGAAGAAGATTCCCAATCTCTTCCACACGAAGAGGGGGGCACCGAATCCGCCTGTTGCACCTGCTCCAAGGGGTGCCGATCCATTTCTGGGCATAACTCAAAGCACTACAAAGCCCTCAATGGCTTGGGTCCGGGCCATCTCAAAGTCCATGCTTCCCATGATGAGCCTGCTGGGGTGTTAAGATCACCAGGAGAGCCCTTTCTACCTCAAGGTGCATTTGGTGAGGACCCGCGACATGGCCTTCTCCATGGCTGCTCCTTGAGACTCTGGAACTCCCTCCCACTGGAGGCCCGACTGGCCCCATCTCGGCTGTCCTTTCGCTAGCAGGCCAAGAGCTTTCTCTTCAGGCAAGCTCTCCCTCCGTGACTGCCTACATGAGGGTGATGTTCAGATGGGCTGCCATGCATGACTGCTCTGACTGGACAGCAAGTATGGTTCGTGTTGATCATTTCTCCGAGTGGCGCTCGTTTGTGCTTTTGAAATATTTATCTACATCGTTTTGGCTTTAAATACTGTCTTTTAAAGATGCAATCCCCCCCCCCGGCTGTAGAATTGCTTTCGGCTTTAAATATTGCCTTCTAATGATGTAAGACGCCTAGGGTCCTTTTTAAGAAGAAAGGTGGGGGGTAAAAATATTTTAAGTAAATAAATGCATACATACATCTCCCCCCCCGTGAATGTGTGTGTGTGTAAATAGATTTTGAATTGCTTTGCCGTGTTGTTGGGGTGTGCAACCCTCTTGAGGATCCCAGGGGCCAAGAAAGAGGACCCTTGGCATGCTCAGGCTGCCCGCTGCTCAGCCAGGGACTGACTCTGACCGACAACACTTTTGGACTGAATTCGCACCCAGGGGCGGTGGATTTCAAGGGCAGCATTTCCAGCTGGGCGGACGCTGGTCTCTGCCTCTGAGGACGGTGCGAAAGCATTGCTCCGTCCCGTCCTCCTCTTTGTGCCTCCCGAAGGCCCTCGTTTCATCACAAAACCGGAAGGAAAACCTCTCCCATCATCCTGTGCCACGGCCAAAGCAAGGACACAGGGATGCTCTCTTGACTTCCCTGTGTCCACGCCAACCTGCCGTCGATGCATCTCCCGAGTTCAAATCCCCATATTTCATGTGTGTGCATGCGCACCGTCTTCTTCCAAGATCCACATAACTTTGCCTGCCTCCCCAGGCCATTCCACACAAGCCAAACAGCCCACCTGCGAGGCGGGGATGCGCGGTTGTGCCTTCGTTGCGATCGCAGCCACACAGGCGACGAAGGGATTCTTTAGCCACGGCTGAATCCTAGCTCTCTTTTAGAAATGTACTGAACCCAGGGGAAAAAAAAAGAAAGAAAGGAGGTGCACACACTCCCCCCATCTGGCCCGTAACCCTCCCCAAAAAGCACTGCAGGTAAATGGCCTTCCTTCCTTCCCTCCCCCCTGCCGGCCCCAATCCTTGCCCTTTGGTTTTGACCCCGTCCTTCCACCACTTCCACTGCCTGCTCTTCTCCCCCCTTGAGAAAAGGAGAAGACACCAGAGGACACAGGGAGGGGGGGGGAGAAATCCCAGCGTTAACCCTTTCTTCCTTGCCAGGAAGAGAAAGGCTTGGTTTCCAGACTCCCCACCGCCACCAGCCCCACACTCCCGGACTGCCACGGAAACAGCTCGGCTGATGATCCGGTCAGTCTGGAAGACCCACAACCCAGAAGCGCAGGTCCCAGCGTGAACCCCCCTGCGCCATGTGCTGCAAATGAAGACCGTACCAATCTCAGGAGCATCCATGCGCTCCCCCCTCCTCTTTATCAGTTCTGCCATCAATTGGAGGAGAGCATGGCTAGGAACAGGTCAAAGGTGGGAGAGCGGAAGGAGGAATCTTTTTTTGCCCTTCGCCTGTCTCCTAATATCACGCAGGCTTACTCAAGTGTAAGCCCCTCCTAAATCCTCAAGACCTCAGCGCTCGGGAAGCCACCATCATGCCCACCGATCTCCCTGCCCTGATCCTGGAGCCACCGGTACTGGTGTTCAGACAAAAAAAACCCAAACCCACACCAAACCACCCGTCCAGCATTGTTCGGAGCGCCAGCCGGAGCGTGGCGCATTGCTTCTCGTGCTCCTCATCCCCTGACCTGTTGTGTGCCGGCCTCTGCCGGAAACCGCATGCAGCAAAGGCTTCTCCTCTCTAGGTGGGCGGGTGGTGGTGGGGAAAGAAAACCGCGGGTGGAGAGGAAAAAAATTAAAATACAAAGCGAGGTCTTACCTTTAGAGCTCCTGTAGCTGATGCTGCTGCTTTTTGGTCTAATGGCATCAAACCCCAGGGAAGGAAGAGGAAGGAAAGGAGACCAGGAAATAAGAGAGGAAAGGGTGTGTGTGTGTTTGTGTGTGAGAGAGATGGACGGACGGATGGTGGGATCCAGCAGAGGGGCACGGGCAAAAGCAGACTGCTGAGCGGGCGCCGGAGGAAAGCAAGCACCAGGAGGGGTAGGACGGCAACTTTCCTGTTCACCCCATTTACCTCTCTCTCGGGTTCAGGATGGGGGACGACAACCCTCCTCCCGCCAAGGAAAAACGGATCTAGAGCCTGTGCAGGGGAGGAACCCAAGCGAAATCTGTTTGGAGAGACTCGGGGCGAGGGAATCGCATCCCCCGCTTCTCCTCTCCTCCCTCCCCCTCCTTCTGATCTCACTGCCGCAACACCATCCTTTCTACGCTCAGCGCCTGAGTCAGCAGGAACGGTCTCCACGGCCAGGCAGCTGCAGGCGGGTTTTTCGGGGGGCCACCCCCTGCCCTTCTCCATCCCACCTTCTCTGCTTCCCCCCCCGACTGCAGCTCAAATGGGGAGAGGGTTCTCTCCGGAGAGGAGGAGGAGGACAGAGCCCCAGAGGGTTAGCGCTGAGACTCCAGCAGGGAGTCCCCAAAAGCAAGAGGAGACCTCCCCCCAAAAAAACCGCTTCGAGCCCTGCCGAAAGGGGAAACTGAGGCACAGCAGGGCTGGTTCCCCAATCTGGAAGGCGATGCAGAGGGGGAGACGAAGACGAGGGGGAAGGAGGGAGAGAAACCCCTTTGTGGGCTTGTTCCCCACGGGGAAAGCTTGGGAGATGATGGGATGCCAGCTCACGGAGAGGACCACTTGAGGTTGAAACCAGGAAAAAGCTTTCTCCATCATCAGCTGGACACCCGAGATGGTACCCTAAATCATGCAAATTTAAAACAGCAAAATAGAAGGCAGAAACCAAAACCGAGACACAAAAGCTCTGTTACACCAGGAAAGATGATTTCTTTTTTTGGGGGGGGGGGCTTCATGTGCACCCTCCCTGCCGCAAATCCCAGCAGGCCACCCCTTCCCTTTCTACATGCCCTTTCTTGGCTCGTTCAAGCCATTTACATTCTACCCTGTATCCGAAGCTCTCAGGGTGGAGCAGAATAAAATCAATGTAATACAGCTCAGTAATTTTTTTTAAGCATCAAAAAGTGTATCATACATTAAAATGGTGCCAAACCAGCTTCCCAAGGTTTTAACCTAGATTGTTTTAACCTGGTTTGACCTGGTACCCCCCTGGATGACGGTGAACAACTCTGCCATTCCCAGGGACCAATAGACACAAATGCCTGTTGGGGGCTACATAGATGATATTAAAAATCTAACCTAGAAAAAAACTGGAAGGTCACGTCTTGTTTTAGAAAGTGGGTAAATCTGGGGTGTCAAATGGGGTGTGTGTTTGTGTGTGTGTGTGTGTGAGAGAGAGAGATTGTGGCTTATTTAAAAGGTGAGTTGCCGCCTGTTACTGCAGCTCCACTGCCAATTCAAAGTGCTGGTTTGAGCCCATAAGGCCCTAAATAGCTTGGGTCCGAGCTATCGCGAGGACCACATATCCCATTATGAGCCTCTTTGGCTCTTAAGATCATCAGGAGAGGCTTCCTCTTGGTCCCACCACCTTCACAGATCCATTTGATGGGGACCCGGGAGAAGGCCTTCTCGGTGGCTGCTCCCAGTCTGTGGAACTCCCTCCCACTGGAGGCCAGGCTGGCCCCATCTCAGCTGTCCTTCCACAGGCAGGCCAAGACCTCTCTCTTCCGGCAGCCTTTCCCTCAGTGATTAGTTCCATGAGTGGGGTTTTTCAAATGGATGGTTGTACCTTACTGCTTTGAATGTGTTTTGGTGTTGCTTACATGTTTTTTTTTAGTATGGCATTGGTTTGACCTCTTTCAGTATTTAGATACATGCTGTTTTTTGTTTCATATACAGTGGTGCCTCGCATAACGAGCGCACCGTTTAACGACGAATCCGCATAGCGATCTATTTTTTGCGATCGCTAATGCGATCGCATTGCGATGTTTTGAAAGGGAAAACATTGCATTGCGAAACGCTTACCGATCTTTGCATTGCGATGTTTTTAGAACAGCTGATCGGCGGTTCCAAAATGGCCACCGGGTGCCCAAAATGGCCGCCGCAAGCATTTTCGCACGGTTTCCTCGCTTACCGAGGCGGCAAAAATGGCGGCGCTATGGAGGATCTTCGCTGAACGGTGAGTTTTCACCCCATAGGAAAGCATTAAACGAAGTTTAATACCTTCCTATGGGGTTTTTAGTTCCGTTTAGCGACAATTCTGGATAGCGACGATTAATCTGGAACGGATTAACGTCGCTATGTGGGGCACCACTTGTACATTGTCTTTTGATTACATAAGCCGCCTTGGAACCTTCTTAAGGAGAAAGCTGGAGTAAAAATACTTTAAAAAAAAACATAAATAGGATTCAAGACTGAAATATGGATTGTGCACCAGAAACCTTTTGAAAAAGGATCTTTTTGTTTTGATTGTCTTTCTGATTTCCACCGTAACTGCCCCTTCCTTAACTACCAAGGCCAACCACATACATGGCACATGGATGTACATCAACTCCAAAGGTTCCCCACCGGGACACTCTCCCACCTCCGGGAAACATCCTGCGTCAACCAGAAAGTGGGAAGTAACTTTTAAAAAGTAACTAGTTACTGTTGTGGTTGGCTGCACAGTTCAGTGAGTAAGGTAACTGGTGTGGAGGGCAGGGGGGAGTTCAATTCTCTCTTCCTCCCCCCGCCCAGTATCTCCTGGGAGAAGAGCCAGCCTGGGTGGCCTTAGGCCAGCTGTGCAGCCCCAGAGCGCCCCCTGGAGGAAGGGGATGGTAAGTCACTTCTGAGGACTCTCTACCTGAAAAACCTTGCAAAGGGTCACCAGAATTGACAGGATGGCATGCCATTATTATTTATTAGTTCCTGTTGTAGTTACAAGATGCTTTGTAAGAAGCTGCACGGAGGTCGCTATGCTCTTTTCCACTCCTGAAAAGTCGTTAAAATTATTCCTTTAAGTTAATTGAAACACATACACTACACTGGCATGACAGGAAACCCATTTTCCACACACACGCATACACGTGCACTTCCTTTTTGTCTCAAAACCCACATCATCAGCGCCATGAAAAACCCTTGATACGATAGCCTCTCTATTCTCTAGTAACACTGCCGTGCTCCTCCGTAACTATTATAATAATTAAAAAGTTACAGTTACATGGCAAAAGGGATGACGTTATCCCTGTGGAGCGCTGGGCTCAAAACCTGGAAGGCAGAGGCTCCAATCCCCAACCGGCGGCCGCCAAGGAACAATTTGGACCCATACTAAGTCATAAAGTTATAACTATCACGCTAACCTTGCTTTGACTCCGTTGCTGAAAGCAAGGGATCAACAATGTGCTGTACACGGAATGGGTCGTTTGTAATGCATTCCTCTCGCGCAATGGGTCTTTTTCCTCTCCTGACCCCGCCGCCAACCCCAGCTCTCCTGAATGACATTGCTCCCAGTGCCAAACCGGGTGCCAACCTCCTTGGGAGAGGCAGGGCAGTGGTCGGGCATCGTGCCAGCCTCCTTCTGGCCACTTGGAGGCCCTCCAGGGCGAGGGCGGCTCGCTCACCGCTAATAATTGGCCTCCGCCGCCTTGCCCTCCGAGTGGTTTGGAAGAGAAAACGAGAGAGGGTAATTAAATTCTCCCTCAGATCAAGGCTAGAGGCCCTACGCCTCCTCCTCGGTGCACTTGCTTGCAGGGTGTGTGTGTGTGTGTGAGAGAGAGAGAGAGAGAGAGAGAGATTATGTCGATGAAAGATCTGGTTCTACAAAGAGGTTGAGAACATATTTCTCTCTTGCTTCTTCTTGGCACGAGTGGTTTTTTTTTTAATTAATTAACTCACCGAGCAATTATTTAACCAGCATTCAAATATTTGTGAGAGCCCGGGTAAGCGCAGCGGGCAGAGCGTCCGGCAACAATCCAACTTGGATTGAGCTCTCCAGTGAGCTACCGAGAGACGGCAACGGTGAACTGTTCCTTGACCCTCGGACAGACTTCGAAAACCCTACTGGGCCCCTGCAAGTCAGACTCTAGTTAGGGGGTCACAAGAGGGCAGCTTAGAATGGTTTGTGTTCCATTTTTCATAATCATAATCCTAACATCATCCTCATGGAACGGCAGAGTTGGAAGGGACCCCATGGGATCATCCAGTCCAGCCCCTGTCCAGGGTGTCTTTAGCACCCTGGGTCGTCATTGTTTAGTTGTTCAGTTGTGTCCGACTCTTCGTGACCCCATGGACCAGAGCCCTCCAGGCCTTCCTGGCTTCCACTGCCTCCCGGAGTTGTGTCAAATTTATGTTGGTTGCTTCAATGACATTGTCCAACCATCTCCTCCTCTGTCGTCCCCTTCTCCTCTTGCCTTCACACTTTCCCAACATCAAGGTCTTTTCCAAGGAGTCTTCTCTTCTCATGAGATGGCCAAAGTACTGGATTCTCAGCTTCAGGATCTGTCCTTCCAGTGAGCACTCAGGGTTGCTTTCCTTTAGAATTGATAGGTTTGTTCTCCTTGCAGTCCAGGGGACTCTCAAGATACTCCTCCAGCACCACAATTCAAAAGCATCAATTCTTCGGCAGTCCGCTTTCTTTCTGGGGAAAGGTTCCCCTTGACAATTTTTGTCCAGTCGTGTTCGACTCTAGGGGGCGGTGCCCATCCCCGTTTCCAAGCCATAGAGCCAGTGTTTGTCTGAAGACAATCTTCCGTGGTCACATGGCCAGTGCGACTTAGACACGGAACGCTGTTACCTTCCCACCGAGGTGGTCCCTATTTATCTACTCGCATTTGCATGCTTTTGAACCGCTAGGTTGGCGGGATTCTTTCTGGGTAGGGCCTGCTAATTAAGAGCTTGATAATCCCACTCTTGGGTTAACGAACCATTGCCACCATTGCCTATTATCTGCATCTTCTCCTGGCCAGGACTCTGAGTACCATACATTTGGATTCCTTGTGTTTGAAGAAACAGATTTGGGTCCATGGAAGTGCAGGTTGAAATAAACCTGTTAGTCTTTAAAGTCGCCACATTATTTTGCCTTTCCCTCTCCCACCCTTTTTCTCCCACCCCCTTTGGTTTTCGTTTGTGTGCTGAAAATATAAGATAATGTTGCATCTTTTAAAGTCTGGGTGCAACAGAAGATGCCCTCCTGTTTGGGAAAATGGGCTTTGAAGCAACCGTCTTCTGTCCAATTTTTTCAAAAATAAATTCCTGGGCTCATCCTGGGTGCCTGCCAGCTGTACGAGAAGGTGGGCAGCCTGCCGTCTCCCTCTAGACACCTGCCACTCAA